ACATAATAAACTGTCACTGGCTCAAAAGCACAGTATTCACAGGGTAAATTTGAGCACTTCGACCCACAGCTGCACAGCCTCGGGCGCTTGTAGCCGTCATAATCCACTTGAAAAATAGACTGAAAATATGTGAGAGAGGACAACAGATCTGCCATAGAAAGGGGTTCATCTGCTCTCTATACAGGCGAGGAAATGAATGCCAGGAGAGGGAGAGAATGGGATTGGAGAGATGCAATATAGAGGGCTAATGAGGCTGTCTGGGTCTCCAGAGAGAGCTGGACAGAGCAGAGGCTGCATGTGACAGCTTAAGACCTGTAATTACAGGCAGAGAAAGGGAGAGGGGCGCTGGATTAAAACCTCATAAACAGCATCAGGAGGCCAGCCCAGTCTGGAAATGTGTGTGTATGTGTTAGAGAAAGGATTAGAATGACTATATGATGCTGCTATGTAGACAAGGATATTCTCACTGCCATCCAAGGTCAGAGAGGATTTTCTCAAATGTGTTTTAATGTAAAAAATGAATACAAGGTTGTGTATTACAGTGATATTGCTGTATGTGACAGCATAAGACCTGTAATTACAGGCTGAGAGGCGGAGAGGGGCGCTGGATTAAGACCTCATAAACAGCATCAGGAGGCCAGCCCAGTCTGGAAATGTGTGTGTGTGTATGTGTTAGAGAAAGGATTAGAATGACTATATGATGCTGTTATGTAGACAAGGATATTCTCACTGCCATCCAAGGTCAGAGAGGATTTTCTCAAATGTGTTTTAATGTAAAACATGAATACAAGGTTGTGTATTACAGTGATATTATCATGGTTAAGGCAACAATATGAGAAAAGACCAGTGCTCAATTGTTGCATTTATTCCATAACTAAGTTTTTTATTTGTGTATTTTCTGAAGGATATACTACTAGAATGATGGATGGATGGATAGGTTGAAGGAAGGATGGATAGATAAATAGATAGATGGATAGGTAGAATGATAGGTAGAAGGATGGATGGATGGACAGACAGACGATGGTTGGATGGATAGGTATTATTATGGATAGTTATATGGATGGATGGATGGATGGATAGGCAGAATGATGATGGACAGATGGATGGATGGATAGATGGATGGATAGGTTGAAGGAAGGATGGATAGATAAATAGATAGATGGATAGGTAGAAGGATGGCTGGATGGACAGACAGACAGACGATGGTTGGATGGATAGGTAGTATTATGGATAGTTATATGGATGGATGGATGGATGGATAGGCAGAATGATGATGGACAGATGGATGGATGGACAGATGGATGGATAGGTTGAAGGAAGGATGGATAGATAAATAGATAGATGGATAGGTAGAAGGATGGATGGATGGACAGACAGACAGACGATGGTTGGATGGATAGGTAGTATGATGGATAGTTATATGGATGGATGGATGGATGGATGGATAGGCAGAATGATGATGGATAGATGGATAGGTTGATGGAAGGATGGATAGATAGATGGATAGGTAGAATGATGAATAGATAGATAAGTGACTGGATGGATGGATGGGTAAAAGGATGGATGAAGAAATTATGGATGGATGGATAGACAGAAGGATGGATAGGTTGAAGGAAGGATGGATAGATAAATAGATAGATGGATAGGTAGAAGGATGGATGGATGGACAGACAGACAGACGATGGTTGGATGGATAGGTAGTATGATGGATAGTTATATGGATGGATGGATGGATGGATAGGCAGAATGATGATGGATAGATGGATAGGTTGATGGGAGGATGGATAGATAGATGGATAAGTAGAATGATGAATAGATAGATAAGTGACTGGATGGATGGATGGGTAAAAGGATGGATGAAGAAATTATGGATGGATGGATAGACAGAAGGATGGATGGATGGAAGTATAGATAAAATGATGGATGGATGGATGGACGGATGGACAGACAGACGATGGTTGGATGGGTAGGTAGAATGATGGGAAGTTATATGGATGGATGGATAGATAGATGGAAGGATAGGTAAAATGATGGACGGATGGATAGGCAGGTAGAATAATGGATGGATGGATGAATAGGTAAAATGATGGGGGGTTTGATGGATGGATAGGTAGAATGACAGATGCAGGACAAACTAGCCTGCAGACTGCCAATCACAGCCTCACAGGAAGACAGACTAGAAGGGGGTGTTTTAATACACATGGCCAATCCTGTTTGAGAAAGCACTAGATTAGGGGAGATTATGCCTGGAGTAGGCAGAGTAAATGGGTTCATAATAACTGTTCACCTCCCTTCCCTCCCAAACACTGTGCTGTTAAAGATCTGTGTCTCCCACAAGCAGATCATTTGAAACCAATCACCCTCTATTTTCTTTAAGAAATACTTCCTCGTCTCGTTTTTATCTTCCTCTCATTCTGTCACAACCGTCAGACTTCAACAAAGGTTCATAAAACAAATCCTGGTTTTGTAATGAAAAGCTCATTGAGGAGAGTCAGGCTGAGCGGTTTATTGTCAGGCTGCCCGTGGCACTTGCATGGGATGAAGTTGTAATTGCGTTGACCCCTTCTATGCGTGCTGTTTTATCAGGCCCAGCGAGATAAGTCAGCAGCTCTAGACTTCATTAAACATCTCATCTATATTAAACAGTCTGGTAGTTTCCCTCCCGAATACAGCGTTTGTTGTCCCCACCGCAGCGCCACAGACGTCCTGAGCAGATTGAGTAAGATATGTCTTGTGTGATCAGCATCCCGCTGTCCAGGATGAATCTGGATTCTCAAAATTGTTTTTGGTTGCTATTGATCAGAAGACATCAATCTCATTCCCGTCTCCTCTGGTATGTATGGGAAAACTGCACGGAGAGGATCCGAGAGCACACAGCTTACCTGATCGTTAACTAATATCTCATACCCCAGCCTTAGCTAATCAGAGCTTGACGTTCATCTCACCCCAAATCCTTGGTTTACCAGCAAGTCTCTCTCTACTCAACTCTAGTTGACTGTAGTTGACTCCTAGGCACTTGTATTTTCTCATAGTCAGAACTGTCTATGTTTTTGATTGGGAATGTAGTAACTAATACGTAGTTACTACTAACATTTAAGTTAGAGATGTGCACAAACCTCTACCTTACAAGTATTTAACCTTGATGTATAATGTGTCCTGTACCATTTGTGTTATGAACATAACATTGTGTACCTACATTTCTAAGCTATCGGACTTGTAATATTTTCCCGGCGGACTATAAATCAAGTGAAAAATCTAACAGACCTATAGTGAAAGAGAGACCAGTATGAAAACATTTAGAAACTATCAAGAAAACCCTATGGATGGAAAGACAGTAGGATGGATGGATGGAATGATGATGGATAGATGGATAAGTGGATGTATGTATATATGGCTGGATGGATAGATAGAATGATGATGGATAGATGGATGAGTAGATGGATGGATAGATGCATGGATGGATAGGTAGAATTATGATGGATAGGTAGAACAATTGAATGATGGATATGTAGAATGATGATGATGGATGGATGGATAGGTAGAAGCAAGGATGGATAGAGTGATGAGTAGATGGATGAATGGATGGATGGATAGGTAGAATGATGATGGATATATGAATAAGTAGATGGATGGATGGATAGGTAGAATGATTATGGATAAGTAGATGGAAGGAAAGACAGTAGGATTGATAGATGGATGGATGAATGGGTGGATGGATGAATGGATAGATGATAGGTAGGTAAAATTATGATGGATAAGTAGATGGATAGAAAGATGGATGGGTGAATGGATAGGTAGAAAGATGATGGATAGATGGATAAGTGGATGGATGGATGGATGTATAAGTAGAGCGATGGATGGATGAATGGATAGGCAGGACGATGGATGGATGGATGGATGGATGGATAGGTAAAAGGGTGAAGGATAAGTAGATGGATGGATGAATGGATAGATGGGTGGGAGAGTGGGTGGATGAATAGGTAGATGGATGGATGGATGGATGGATGGATGGATGGATAGATAGATAGATAGATAGATCAAAGAGGGACTGAGTCATACCTAGAAATCAGAAAGCCATTGGAGAATTGGTGGGCTCTTTTGACTTGGGTCAGTAATTGGGTCAGTGATTGGCAACTATCAAGAACACCCTAACAACCACTTTACCTCACTCTGAAGCACCTAAAATACCTTGCTTGGTTGTAATGACCTAGCAACACCCTGGGTCACCAACAACAACTTATGGATGAATGGGTAGAATGATGAATAGATGGTTAGGTAGAACAATAGATAGATAAATGGTTGGTTGGATGGATGGATAAGTAGAATGATGGATGACTTGGGCAAGTAAGAAAATGCTTGGCAACTATTGAGAACACCCTAGCAACCACTTTACCACATGCTGAAGCACATAAATACCTTGCTACATTGTAAGCATTCCCAAAGTTCCCTTGAGGCTTGTTGCCATGTTCAGAGAGCTGTGTTTAAAAACAGACCTTGGACCTTGGTCTTCCTAGTCGCCAGACCCTAGGTGGTAAGAATGGGAGAGAAATATTACAGACCCTCATCTCAACACAGCCTCCTTCAGGAGACGTTCATTTGGGAGAAAGTGCAACCCTCTCACGGTCAGTGTGGGCCCCCATGGGGGAAATGTATAATACTAAGGACATGCGAGCTCACAAAGGACTTAACATCAGACCACACTCACCAACAGCCTAATCAAAAGAGCACAGTAACTCCTCTATTGCCACTAGCGCCTGGGGATGAGACACTGAAAATGTACTCTACAAGCTGTGCAACAACAACTGTCTTCGTTGTTCAAAACTAGTGGGGTTAGAAATTAATTTATTCTACTTGTTCTGTGTTTTTTGTTACATCTGACAAAATTTAGAGACATTTGTGCTTAAAGCAAGAACAGCTCTTTCATAAAGGGGCAAGAAAAGTAGCAGCTGAAAGATTAAAAATAAGCCAGAATAAAGAAGTGTATTTTTTTTTCTTCCCAGGAGGCTCCAGGTAGCCCACCTGTGCCTCTGAACTCTCCACGAGACGAACATGAGCGACGGATCTCTCAGTCGCTGTATCCCGGAGAGAGCCTGGATGACAACCACACCCCACGACCCACCATGATGGGTAGAATGATGGGTAAGCTGATGATAAACACTCAAATGGCCCTGTCACTTCACACAAAAATAACTCCTCTTCAGTTAGCTAACTCCAATCTTTATTTTTGTTCTGGAGTTTGTAAATGGCTTTTATCAGTCTGCTGGTAGTTTCAAGGTTGCTCCAAGAAGATCTAATCGATTTGCCAAAGATAGTGATGTTTATAACATTTCATTTTTTTTTTCAAATGTTTAAGGGATAGTTGGTCTTTTTACAGGTAGTTCCACACTTGTATGACTTTATTTCTTTTGTTGAACACAAAATACAATATTTTGAAAATAATGCAGGGAACCAAAACAATTGTTGGTCGCCATTGACTTCCATAGTATGCAAAAAAATGTCATACAGGTTTGGAATAACTTGAGGGTGAGTAGATGATGACATTTTCATTTTTGATTAAATTATCCCTTTAAAGAGTTCAGTTTGAGACACTTTTAGGCTGTGTGTCCACCAAAGCGTTTTTATCCAGCTGAAAATGGCAGGTGTTCTTTTGAAAACGGCGCTTGAGAGCGCTTTGGAGGCGCAGCGTTTAGCTAGAACCAACAAAATGTTTCTCCAAGCATTATTATTCATATTAATAAATAATAATAATAAAACACACACACAAAGTGAAATAGACACTCACTGCCTTATTTAAATATGCCATGTTCCCATTGAAAACAATTTAAAAAATCATGCTGGCCTTTAAGAATAAATACTTTGTTGGACACGCGGCCTTGAACAAGTGAACTAGATTTCCTTGAGCTCACCTGTTTGCTCAAAGGTCTATATCTGGTTTATGAAGTATGTTATTAAAAGGAAAAGGGTCGATTCACGTGTGCTTTGAAGGTTTCTTCCTAAGTGGATGGTTCTTGGTCAAAATTATTGCATTTTAATAGTCATATTTATGCTCTGCAAGACTATGTATGCACATGCGCTGTCAGTATATGTCCTGACCTTCTGTTTCCACCTGACATATACTGTTTAAATGCACAGATGAATGAGCAGCTGGACGCACGCAGGCTCAGCCCAGCCAGTCCCAGCATGCTCCTGTGGTTTTGTAAATGGGGGTTAATGTCATTTTCAAGCCCTATGTCTCATCCAGCATGACTCTTTCAAGTCAGTCCTGATTTCTCTCAAACTCAGCTCCAGTTCTAGTCCTGCCAGACAATTGGAATCGGCAGACCAATCCTTTCACTGTCATGCTTGTCATTTCACAATCGACTACTCAGTCTTGAACAATAAGCTCTTTAGTACCTGACGCAAACCCTCTTCTTCCTCCTCCTCATCCCCCTGCTTTTCTTTCACCCCTCAATTTCTTCTTCATCCTCCTGTTCTGACCTTGTCTACTGCGTGTGTTCTCATCGCAGTGTTACGATGAGTTAGTCAATGACGTCTCGTTCTGTTGTTGTTGTTGTTGTTGTTGTTGTTGTTGTTGTTGTTGTTGTTGTTGTTGTTGTTGCTGCTGCTGCCAGTGCTTATATAATAGGTATTGTTATTTTCTTATCAATAACAATGGTACTTATTAGCTTTGATATTTTAGATAATATGTATTTATTGTGAAAGTTTTTTGTTTGTATAATAATAATAATAATAATAATAAGTTTATAAAATATCAATATCAGTGATACCTATTCATATATAAAATGAGTATTTATTGCAGTTATTTATTTGTTTATTTATTATCAGTCTTTCACCTTTTTTTCTTTCTTTTTTTCCCTTTTTGTCTTCACTTCTCATTCTGTCCTAGTTGGTTTGCACAAATGTATGCATTGACACTTTCTTTCAAAAAGCATGGGAGTGATTCTTCCCCAGCGCCAGTGCAGAGAAACTCTAAAACTTCTCAAAAAGCAGAACTTCAGAGAGTTTAGCTGTACATCTTCTCCGGAGGAAAGTAAAAAGGCAAAAGTTTGAGAAAGTTTACCTGAGGGAAGATGGCACCCTTCAGCTGTTGTAGGCCTGACACATTGTCATACATCTCATAAACTCGGCCCGTGCTCCTGAGGATTGTTTCACCACTTATCAGTCACTTGCATGACACATTATTTTTGTTTGTTAAAACTTGAAAAATGCAGCAATAACACATCACATTAAGTGGTCCATTGCTGACGTTCTGAATGACAGAATGTCTGTCACGTAACTTTACGCACTGCAGGACGCGAGGACGGACCTTGATGTATGGACTCTGTTGCGTTTGTCAGAGGTCATTTTCTAAAGGACCAAGGTGGAGACCTGACTGACAAAGCATGCTGCATCACTGTCAGGAAAATAGTCTTCAGCAGCCACAGCTCATTTCAGACATATTTGCTGTCACTCAGGAAGGAGCAGACATGGCAGGGTTTGAGCTACAAGGTTAGCGAGATAATGTCGTCTTGCATGCCTGTTATGACAGGCCGGGATGAGGAATGAAACTTTAAAGCTTGAAAACAGACTGAAATGAGAGAAAACTCAGAGGAATAAAGTGCTATAAATATAAATTGGTAGTTGATGGGTAAAATTTATGTGACTAGATAAAGTTCAACAAGGAGAGGAGCTCACGCACATAATGGTAGAAGATTTCGTATAAAAAAAAAAAAAATACTAGATAAAGGAAAGTATAAATTTTAGGTTGTGTATCTGGTCTCTATTTATTTATTGTTTGTTTGTTTTGTCTGCATTTATACCTGTTACTGTTTTTATTACATATGGCCCTGAACAAACAAACAAACAAACAGTTGGTGTAATGATATACAGATTTTTTTATTTATTTGTTTATTTGTTTGTTTTTACACACGTGTCACTATTTGATTACAAATGGTTCTAAATAAATAAATAAATGAAATAAATAGTGGCAAGTATAAACCTATGAAACAATATAATAATAATAATAATAATACATAATTTTGTTTGACTTGCATTGTGTTTGACATTTTTGACAAATCACACGCTGAATGACCCAAAAATACTATTTGAAATGTGATCTGACCTTTCAGACTGAAATTAATTCTGAAAATCATATTTTAATTGGTTTTCAAGCCACATAAAGATGTGTTCATATGGTGTTCTGCTGTTCAGATTGCAAAATTGCAAATAGCTAAATATATTCAGGCCTCTTCTGTCCTTCTTTTCTTGTCACATGTAACATATTTCTACTTTCTAGAGTTAGCAGCCGTGCTGTAGATGTTGGATTCTTGTAGCCTTGTAAGTTCAAGTTGCTCTTAGTGTTACTTTAACACGTTAAACACAGTTAAAGTGACACACAGGACTTTTTCCTTTCATTTAAGGGGAGGTGGTGTACCAATTTGAATTTGCCCTTCACAACTGTTGATTTCCAGAGAGAAGTGCCTCTAAGTGTGTGACGGGAAAGGTTAGCCCCATTAAACAGCGTAAACAGGCACTGTGGCCAAGGCTCGCTCCAAAGAAACGGCGTATATGGGTGCATTCATAGTCCTTCGTGTAAAACGACGTTTCTGTGACTGGTGCTTCTTGGAGACTCACTAACCATATTCTGCCCATAGAGAGACATTTTGAGGAATATTCTGAATGAATCTACCTCTGAATGACAGTCATTACAGTAGCGAATGCCTTGTGCACTTGAGGTAATCATAGTGGCAGAACATTTTAGCGTGTAGTCATTTAGACAGAGTCCCGGAAATAATTTTCAGTACTTTTGAACAGGGCAAAAATAGATAAAATGAGAAAAATAAGCCTTATTTTGGATTAACATGTGTAATACATAATAACATTATAAACGTTATGGATTAAATGAACGCCATGGTATTTTGTGAGGGTGGTAATTTTGTGGTCATCATTTGTGACATTTAGAAACTGCTCTGTGAAGTGTGTATGTCCATATGATTAGTCTAACAGCCCAGCTAACAGGAAGCCTTCTCAGAACATTGGCTAACGTTCTGGCAATGTTCTCTTAAAGGGGTCATATGATGTTGCTAAAAAATAACATTATTTTGTGTATTTGGTGTAATGCAATGTGTTTATGCGGTTTAAAGTAAAAAAAACACATTTTCCACATACTGTACATTATTGTTGCTCCTCTATGCCCCGGCTTTCTGAAATGCGTTGATTTTTACAAAGCTCATCAGTCTGAAAAGCGAGGTGTGCTCTGATTGGCCAGCTATCCAGTGCATTGTGATTGGCCGAATACCTCAAGCATGTGACGGAAATATTAAGCCCCTACCATACTATGATGCTGTGTCCCGGCGCGACGAGACAAAACCAATAAAACCCATTACAAACGAGGCATTTGTTGCATCCAGTGGGGACATAATTACTGATTATAATGACTTAGGCCCCGATCACACAGAACACGTTTTTTGCAGTGAGAGGCGCCTTTTTTGAATTGTTTTCGGTTAGCAGTGAGCGTTCTGCGTGCTGTATATGCGCCCTGTGCGCATCGTGTTTTTTTGCAGGAGTGCCTGAAGTTGAAAAAAAAGCAACTCTGAGCAGAAAAAGCGCCCGACGTCATTCGCATTTTTTCCATTGTCCAATCGAATGAACGGAGAGGCGGGCCTTCCGTTGTGATGACGAAAGTTTACCGTTGCTTAGAAAGTCCGGAGACTGCTATGTTGGAGGAGAAACTTTTGGTGTTTGTCGCGGATTACCCGTAGCAGTATTTTTTAGGATTTCTATTAATATGACCATTTACTTAACAGTAGAAACCAAATATTTTAGTTTGCAATAAGTCTTGTAATTCAGCTACAATTTGACTAGTGCTATACCCAGCCTGGTCTCATTGTTTATATGTAGGTATTAGTACGTAACGTTTACAAGCACAAAACGTACAATTTAGTATGTTTTTGTTGATGCTGAAACGTAAAATTTAGACGTATTTCAACGTTTAAATCGTACAAATTGCAACATATTTTTAGCTAAAAAATTTTACATGTTTATGAATATTTTATATCATTAAGATATTTGTATCAATGCATTTTTATCATTTTATCGATAAGTGATTTAGATTGTTAGACCCCTTAACCTACCCCCAAACCTAAACCTCTACCCATTTT